TGTGTGTGTGTGTGTGCGTTTGAAGGTGTTTTTGCACTGTGTACATTTTTTTTATAAGCATGCAAAGATGAAAGGCATAATTCTCAGGGAAATTTAAAAAAAAGGTTGTAAGGAAACTTAAAGAGAAGTGGATGCACGTTGAGTCACAGCCAAATTAACATATTCATAAGTTGCTCTCCCACCATATTGTTAATTATCTGCAGATTTTTGTCTCAGTGGAGAGTTGAAGTGTCAGTGGTGCAAGGAGGTGGGATGCAATCAAGAGTTGAAAGGAAGGTGAAGTTTTGGGGATTCATTTGCAGCACAGAAAAGGGTGTAATGGCAGAGCATGTCTTGTTTTTTTAGGCACAAGAGGGGAAGCTGTTGTTGTCGGAAAAGATGTAGTGATGCAGGGCGATGGATGCCAAATGGAGGAGGGGTGTTTAAGAGTTGTTGATCTTGTTGGCAGGTGTAGAATGGATGTTGAGATGAGAGAGTCACGGTTTATTTCTCGCTTTCTAGTGTTTAAATGTAGAGAGTACATTTTACAGATTTTCACATTGTAACAGATATACATCTAGCGAGTCTTGTTGTCATGATCGCATTGATAAGCTACAATGTAAACAATGTTTTGCTCGGACAGTCAGACAGCTCATTGCTTGTGGTGCCGTATTAAGAGGAGCTATTTGTGTTCAACAGCCTGGGTTCTTGTTAGCAAGCAAAAGTAATTTCATGCTACTTCTCCAAATGTTTGTTACTGTCTGCAGTTTTTCATTTATGTATTCAGTCGCTCATTAATGTGTCAGTTCAGTTTATTCGCTCCAGTTTAATGAGTGAGTAGTTTTCGTAACATGTGCATAATTGAATATTGCTCATGAGTTCTGCCTGGACTGTCTTTGGCTGTCTTTGGAGTAGCCAGCTCACTCCAGATAGATTGCAGTCTTGAGGAATGTTTTAGAAAACATTTCAAACATTACTGTCTCAGTTAGTTGAGAGACTTTTATTAAACTCATGCCGGGAAAGCAAAATACAAGAACAAATGCATAGTGTTAAGTAACTTTAAAGTGCTACAAGAAAATGTATAGTACTAAATACTATATACACACCAAGATAAATAGTAATTATTATTAAGGGCATTGAGACAAAAATACTCACAAATAAGTGAGGGGACATTGAAATAAAAAAGTTGTAATCCTGGTTTATTTGGTGATAAATTTGGTAACCTGTGGTTACTGTGGTAACAGCAAGTCCTAGTTATTATTACTGGAAGCACTCCTTGAGCGGCTACTTGCACATACAACAGATAATCAACTGCTGTAACTGTTTACAGTGCAGCCCAGCAAACTTACGTGGTTTTAGTAAAGAAGTCAGTCAATAATAATCTGCAACCGCGATTTAATTTCATGCTTGCATATGACACAAAGTAATTTTCCAACAGCAGAGCAGAGCAAAGTTGGGTATCTTGCTGCGTAGTCGAAGGTGTGCAGCCTGTTGCCTGCAGCAGTTTACGAATATTTTTTAAAAAGCCAACAGTGTTGTTTTGTAGATGCATATAAACACAGTCGGTGTTGGTAACAAATAGATTGTGTTTCCTATGACTGCTTCACAAGATAAGACAGCATGTGTTTTGCCAGTTGAACACTTTTAATGTAAAGCAGCGACACAAATGTTTGCATTAGCACTTGACACATATCTGAGTGTGTGTCAGAAGAGGTAACAGGAAATAATTATGGGCTGATTTCAGTGAGGGTAACAATTAAAAGTAATAATATATAGAGAGTTAAATAGTGTCTAGATTGTAAGTACAGAGAATGGTTATTGCTGATGGAAATCTGAACTGATCTGGATTTTCATGAGAATTGTGAATATATACATTTTAAATTTAAAAAAATGCAGTTGAACGCTTGACTGGTTGCGGTTTAATGTGTCTTCCTTTGCTGCTGTTTAATGACTTTCACTTAATCTGCCATCGGATGTGTGTTTAATCACGCATGAAGAACTTTACATGGCTTGTTTATGTATTTATGACTGGCTTTCATACAGGAGAAAACATACTGAAGGCAATTGCCTCAGTGTTACAGTCCTGCAGGTACAATGCTATAAAGGGTAATCCACCCATCCATCTAAAACTACAACAATTAGTCAACACAAAATTTGTTTTTTAGTCACTTTTCAAGCAAAAAAGCCAAATATTGTTTGGTTCCACCTTCTCAATTGTGAGAAATTGATGTTTCTTAGTTGTATATGATAGTAAACTTAATATCTTTGGGGTTTGGACTGTTAAAATAAAAAGTAAAATAAACAAGAAGCCACTTGAACAAAAACAAGCAACTTAATTTGGTTTGTGGGAAATTACAACAGGCTTTTTTTTTTTTTTCAC